GGACAATACACAAGTCAGCTAGAATGTCCCTCATTACACTGTGGACTCCCCAAACCAACTGGACTTTGGCAAGCAGGCTAGCATCTTTCTCTGCACAAAGGCTTTGGGAAACCTTAAGTGCTTGGTGCAGGCCAACGTGTGTCTCCTCACCACTTTGTGTCTTTGTGGAATCCAGAGTGCCATGAGGCATTAATGTCTGACCATAGGAAGTTTGGTGCATTAGGCATGTGTTCTATATACACTTATATAAAAGGTTCTATTATCCCTTACCATATTTGTTGCTTTGACTGACTACTTAGTTACTACAAACCAGGTGCTGGTGAGCAGTGTGCATCAGTGATGCAGACAGGCACTGTAAAGAAGGCTGGGTGTGTAAGAGCGATACACAGAAAGATCATTTAAAGATGTATACACATGTAGACATTTTATATACATGATTAACCTATCAGATACATTGTTTCTCTTTTCTATATACTTTTTAAAATTAAGATACCTATTTTAATTGAAATTAGGAATCTCTCAATCCACTGTTCTACATATTATTGCTCTATTCCTGTCATCTTCCCCATTATTTTCGACATTTCTTTGTATAGACCCTGAATAGCAAACTGGAAGGGAAGAGGTCAAATAATCCAGACACTCCTGAAATCCCCTCAAGAGATTTGGGGAAATCTCCATTAGCTGTTAGCAATGTAGGGCCAATGACATGATCTGGCAGTTCTACTTCCATCCAGTGGTGAGCAATGATACATACATACGTTCACTAGCTGATTAGTTACAAAACTGAATACCGCCTTTTGTTGTGTCTAGACACAGACATTTTTAAGAGTAAGTGTTGATGATTATGAAATTCTCAGGATTAGAATCAGGTACTGTCATAAACATACAGCTAAGGGTAGCATAAAATCCCTCTTTACCCTGTAAAGGATTAATTCCTCTTTTACTTGTAAAAGGTTAAGAAGCTCAGGTAACCTAGCTGACACCTGACCAAAAGGACCAATAAGGGTACAAGATACTTTCAAATCTGGGGGTGGGGGCGGGGAGGGGAGAGGGCTTTGTTCTGTCTGTTCTCTGTGCTTGCGGAGACAGATCAAGAAGGCAAGCAATCCAACTCAATTAGAATTAGTAAGTACTAATACGGGAATGCATTAGCTTATTTTTATTTTGGCTTGTGATTTTCTCATCTAGAGGAAGGTTTATCCTTGGTTTTGTAACTTTAAGATTTTGCCTAGAGGGGGGATCCTCTATGTTCTTGAGTCTTTTGTTATTCTGTAAAGTACTTACCATCCCGATTTTACAGAGGTGATTCTTTTATCTTTTCTTTAACTAAAATTCTTCTTTTAAGAACCTGATTAATTTTTTCATTGTTTTAAGATCCATGGGTTTGGGTTGGTGTTCACCTGTACCAATTGGTGAGGATATTATTCTCAAGTCTCCCCAGGAAAGGGGGTGTAAGGGCTAGGGGGGATATTTGGGAAAGGTAGGGCTCCAAGTGGCCCTCCCTAAATGTTTAAATTACTTGGTGCTGACAGCGTTACTTAATCCAAGGTACAAGGAAAAATCTGTGCCTTGGGGAGTTTTTAACCTAAGCTGGCAGAAATAAGTTTAGGGGGTCTTCATGCAGGTCCCCATGTCTGTACCCTAAAGTTCAGAGTGGGGAGGGAACCCTGACAGGTACGACAGCTAACATTTTTACAGCATGTTAGACACTGTACAAACATGATAAAAGTCAGATCTGTGCCCCAAAGAGCCTATGTTACACAGTCTATCTGGTTGTAGATGAACAGTAGGCTACAAGCAATAGTATATGTCAAATTTACTACAAAGGCATTTGAAAGGAGCTGTCCACTTGTGAATGAAAACTGCATATAGTCTTGTCACTTTTAAGTGTGGTGGATCTGTAGGATTTCCTCACAGAGCTTGTGGCTGCTATCTTCGGTTTACTTCACAGAAGTAGCATGTCCATGCAGCCACATTTCAGCTATAGCTTAATTTTCAATTAATTGTCCAAACCCCGATATGCAGCTTGATTGAGAACTAACAATTTTCAGACACTGAACAACACAAAAGAGGACTATTTGGTCCTGGCAACACTTCCTCCCCACTTCAAACAGCCAGATTTCCCATTCTAGAGCTAGCTCAGGAGAGCACTGCTGAAGCAAGCGGTATCTTCTTGGCACATCGGAGGGACGTGTGTACATTTCCATGTGTACATGTGTGATAACAGGAGCAAGGAAAAAGGCAAATGTGCATGTTACATGTAGGTGTTTAGGTGAATTAGCAAGTGTTCAGAATAAAAAGGAGAGAGAGAAATTAGCAGAAGACTGAGGAGAGAAATAAAGGTGCAAAGGGAAATGTGTTAAAGGAGAGAATATTAAAAGGGCGGATGAAGAGAAGCGATAGAAAACTAAGGACAAAACCTAGAAAGAGGGGCAGCAGGCAGAGAAGAAAATGGGAAAGAGGGAGAAAGTCATGAGATGATGACTAGAGGAAGAGATGAAACATTTGGAAAACTAGAACTAGGAGCAAGAGATGAGGCAGGTATGTGGAAAGGAAAACAGGAACAGCAACTAAACAAGGGCAGGAAGTAAGTAGAGTCAGTCACAGAATAGTGAAGGAAAGTGGTGGAGAGAGAAAAACGTTGAGAACAAATATAAATGAAAGTTATAGGATTATCACTTACTTAGTACTTCTCTACATGAGACAGTTTTAAGTTGAACAGCCATAACTATCAAGTTAAAGTGGTGCAAAATCCCTGTGTGGACACTTGCTCTTATTTCAGTTTAAGAATGACTTATTTCAGTTTAGCTTAATCCAATTCCCAATTCTTAAACTAAACAGAAATAAGTCTGTTTTAAATCAAAATAAGAGTCTACCCAGGGGGTTGAACCATTTTAACTGAATTTGTTCATGATCACACCTTTGTCATGTAGCCAAGACCTTAGACTGAAAACTTTTTGGAAGAGGGAACATCTTATTGTTATAGGTTTGCTTCAAGTTTAGCATAATAGGGCTGTGACATCTAGGCACTACCACAATAAACATCATCAACAACAAGGAGATAGAAGAGGACAGAGAAAAGTAATGATGCACAAGTTTAAGGGAAGCGTTTTCTGAATTGTTTCTATATTTTAGCAGCAAATTACAATTTCAGATTTTGGGGACAGCAAACAATAAATGCAGACACGAAGGATTCTACCCTTTTTGTACTGCTCATTTTCACATTTAGTGCATTATAAACCTTCATTCTTAACATTTGGTTGCTCCTGCTGCAGAATTTCCAGTTTTCTGCAGAATTCCATAAAGTAGTTCCAGAGAACCCAGGGGGACCTTGCTTCAGAACTTTGGTCCAATTTGCTGCAGAGCACATGGAGCAATCCGTGTAATCACTGAAAGAGTAGCTCTGTTTTTTTCTTTCGAACATGAGCAGAAAAAAACCCATTGATTTCAAAGGCAATCTAGCAATTGAGAAGTGTGGACTTTGCCTGAAAGACAGATTTTACCCTGTTCTCATGTTTCT